TCTGCAATACTGACTCAGGAAATCTTGCCAATAGCCAACCCAGAGGATTGGACAGTTCATGATTCAATATATGTGCTGTGGATATGAAGGTAGGTGGGGTATATAAAACTGAATACTCATCACAATGATGATCCCTTCTCATAAATATATTTTAAGGGTGAAAGATTACTTTAAAATGAGTTTTTTATCTGATATTTTTAGGGCTGCATGTGCTGTATTTCTAATTTCTCTCTCTCTTCACTAAAAAAGCAGATGCAGAGAGGATTGAGACTGGGGCTGAAATATGGAAATAAGAGGATTAACTCTTTAACTCTGCACCATTGGTCCTGATCAAAATTCCATCCCATCCACCCAAAGCTATGAGCCATGAAAGGGAAACAGAAGCATAACATGAGAAAGCCTGTATACATTCTCATACAGAGCTAATGGGAGCCCCATGAGTCATCTGCATCAGGGCGTCAATGCAGAGGAAAGAGCTGAACCCTTTTCCTCTTGCCATAGCCCTGATCTAAATCACTTCCTGCAGCTCCTGTTAGCAATTAGAACAAAGAATACATCATGTATAGTTTGACCCTGGTACAGTAAAATCAAACCAGGACATTTTCCAAATTAGTGGAAATGCAACTTTCAAGCAGCAGACCATACTTCTAATTGGATATATATATATATATATATATATATATATTTCATTTTGCTTCAAGGAGGGAAAACACCTCAGTTTCCAGTTTCCTGGTGTCGCTGTTGCACAACCAGAGAAGGTATCTAGTTGCACCTCTACTTGCATAAATATACTGATGCCCAGTTACTCAACAGACTCTGGGCTGGTTACGATCAATTTAAAAACTAGAAACACTATTAAATACAGTAGTTTTCTAAGCAATTCAGACTTCAAAGGAAGCTTAACCATGGTTTAGAATAGGAGCAGGCAACTCTGGCCCTGCTTGTTATTCTCTTATAACCTCTAAATACTGGTCATGCTGACTGGGGCTGATAGGAATTGTAGTCCAGCAATACCTGGAAGACCATAGGTTCCCCATTCCTGATTTAGAATATTGTCTGAATTGATAAACCATAGTTTGCAATTGGCTGGAAAGTGAGATCTGGAAAATATGGCTTTAAATTTCAATCAAAATGCTTGCTGTGATATTATTTTTTTTAATTATTCGGTAGGTGCTGGAAGTTGAGTAGGGAGGGTGCCTATCTGACCTCAAGTGGAAGTTCCAGTTTATTTTCTTTCAAGTGCCCAAAATGACTAAAGGTAAGCATGCCTGTTTGGGTGGTGCAATAAAACATGTCTGTGGCTGAGTTGATTTGAGGAATTACTCGCACGACTGTATAAGCACCAATGCACTGCTGATGGCTGGGATGCTACTTCCAGTTGATATCAGTCCACAAAGGTGTTATTTAAGTGATATAAAAGGAAAAACAAAATAAACAAAAAATAAAAAATAAATTCAACAAGATGAAAGGATGCACTTAGTACATCAGTCAGGCCTAGAACTGCTCATTCAGTAGACGCCTTATTATTTTAAGTTGCCGTTCTTACTTGGGTTCTGCCATGGCCGTCCTTCGGAGACCCATGATGAAACGCCCATGATGAAACGCAATTCCACTCTGTATCTGGCCATCGCTTATGGCAGGGAAAGGAATTTCAACTTCTGATTTACTTTCTAGGTCATGAAGTATATAGCCGTTTATTGCGTGAGCATCAATCCCTTCCACAACCTCTGCAAAATAAATGTCGATAAATTAGGGAAAGTGCAGAGTTGAGGGTAGTATACGAGAAGGATACATATCAAGTTGCCTCAAGAACATACATTTAGATCAAGTATTTATTATGTTATACGCACTAGGAATATGCAATGGAAATTCTCCCCAACCATGAAAAGACATTTTGAACATTCTTCAGAATCTTAGAATCTAAGAATTTAAGCTGAATTCAGCCAATAAACCATGTATTATGTCCTTCTAGAAGATGTTCAACAACTACCCTGTTTTCTACAGTCCCTGATAAGCAGCAAAAACAAGGGGTTTACCGAGTCCCTGGTAGGTCATATATGAATCATATATGGCTTCATTCAGTTTCATAGGTCTCATGTACATTACTGACAGAATTAAACAATAGTGACAGAGGAATTTTGTAATGTGGAAAGAAATGGAAACTCGTGCACCCCCACTCCTGTCAGAAGTCACCCCAAATCAAGGAGAGGCTAGATTCTAATTTCAGCCTATAGGCCAACATATATAGAGAGGGGTTTTTTGGTATTATGATATTATAAAAGGCATAGATGGAAGGCAAGGATCAGGCTACCCAGCAAATTAAATAAACAAAGTGGGGCAACAAGCACATCAGAACAATGAGACAGGATTTGTGATTTGCTAACATACCTCCCAGGCCCAGGTCTTTCAGAGCATTATATCCCCCTGGTTGCAGCAGTTCTCCAACTATCCTGTCAGGTTCCTTCAGATCCCTCTCAATTACTGTCACTTTTCTTCCATCCCTTGCCAGTACTGCTGCCAAAGCAGAGCCAAGCACACCGGATCCCACAATGATAACTTCTGGATCACACGGAGGGGTGAGATTTGAACCCGTAGTTGTCTCAATTGTGCTCTCAGGTGAGGTACCAACTTCCCTTCTATCCTGCGTAAAGATGAAGCCATAAGCAAAACAAAACAGATGCATTTTAGCCTATTGTGATTACCATTTACTTCAAGGACTTGGGCTGACAAATGTCACAAAAGCACAGCATATTGAGGGAGAGAATTCTGTACATGATATATACACAGAGGAACTTGAGCTTCATATAATGCTCTTGGATGAAACTAATTATCTTCACTCATTCCAGTACAAGTTCAGGTTCTGTGACAGAATCAGCCTTGGGTGCCCTCGGTGGATTATCTTCTTTAGGAAAGGAATGGAGGAATGAGAACTTGCTGATTCCCCTGGATCTCTCAGCGACTTTTGATACGGATGGCCACAGTATCATCCTCGACCACTCCTGGATGACCTCAATGAGTTGGCTACAATCATTAACATACCAAGTCCCATTGAACACAGTAGGAATTACCATAGTGCCAAGAAACCATGCACATAATTGCACTTGTAGTTCATTTACATTATGTGCTCCTCAAAATGGCAAGGAAGGATGTTGTTTCTTACCTACATATGCTAGATATAGGACAGATACCCTCTCCCTAGAAAGCTACGAGGGGAAGGGGAATCTGAAATCCTAGGAATGTATTACGAAGGAGCTAATGTTTGAGAATTTCAAATATTTCCTATTGTTTTAAAACATAGGAAAGAGATCTCAGTCCTGGGTTGTCATGCTAAGAGCCAACATACCTCTTTGGATTTCGGTTTCAACACCTTTGGAGAGCCTGCGTGGAATTTAGTCCAGAAAAAACCAAGGAGAGGCACAGCGGCAAGAAAATTAGAGAGCATTCCACAATGCGGTTGCCTGTGCTTCTGTTGCTTTAGTCCCCATGTCCGGTACCGATAGGACAGCAGCAAACCAATAGAGAACACCAGCATGGAAATCAGGACCTCCTTGTTGGCATAATTCAGCAAATCTCCACATTTCTTATAGACATAGATGAAAGAGGCAATGCCCAGAAAAGTCCACATTGTGGAAGAAGGGTGTGCTCTCTCACAATCACTGCTGGATTCCCCCCTTTTCGAGCTTGATTCTGAATAAAGTTCCTTGAACAGGGCTACACACACCCACACCCCATACAAATTGCGTTACGAAATTACAAAGATCCTCATTTCAAACCAAAGGAGGAGAATTAAAAAACTGTACTACAAATCCAAAAAGGTAAAAAAGAAAAATGCCAAGAAATTTAATACAAAACCTCTGTGGTCACAAAAAGCAGTTCCTCAGCTTAGGCACCAGGCAGGAAAACATAGTGGATTTGCAGCTCCACCTATCGCCACCCGCTATTTCTAGGGTGAACATGTCACTAGAAATGGCATCGTTCATTTAAATTTCTTCAGCCATCTGCTGGTTTCTGCCAGGACACGTATTTTAAGCCTCTTGACCCTTCAGTCAGCAGGAATAACTAAACAAACAAACAAACAAACACCCGGGAAGGTATTGCGTGTGTTTTAAAAATGCAAAATGTCACAATCCAACAAGGGAAGCGTATCTCCGGGTCCTGTGCTCCTTTCCCTCCTGCTCCTTCGTAAGCGATTCTCGCTTCACCTGTGAACAAAAACCAAAAAGTTACTAAAACGAGAGAGAGCGTGCCAGCCACCGCCATCCCTGCCAAAGTGGCTGGTGGGCTTTGCAGGTGGCACACTTGGTTGGCAGGAGAGCATGCCATCCTTGATAAAGGTGTGGAAATTTAATTCACAAGAATGAAGAACTGAAACGCATACATACATGAAAACCGGAGGGGTTTTCTTTTTAAAAAAGAAAATAAATCAATGTGAGGGCTGCTCCTCTTTCCCTCAGCGACCCTGACAGGATTTTTCTGACAGGAAAAGGGCTCGTTCCTTTAGTCTAGTCCTTTGGATGGCGGAGCTGTGCCGCCCTCAGCCCCAAGCTCCTCCGGGAGAGAGACCTGGGCTGTTGGTCCTGTTTGATGGCCTCTCCTCCTCCACCACCTCAGGGAAATGGCTCGCTTATCTTCCCTGTCATCCTCTCCTCGCGGCCGCTCGCCTCCGCCCTCGCCGTGCAAAAGGCTCGCTTGGCGACCAAGGATGCTCTGAGCAGGTGAGGAGAGCGGAGGCAGGCGGGAGGGAGGCCACAGGAGAAGAGGGCGGGGTTATGCTAATAGCCGGCTGCCGGCTCCACTCCTGCCTTCGCCTCGCGCTTTCCACGGCCCAGCCCCTCTTGGCCAATCCGCCGCGCTAAGACGAGATGGTGCTATGGCGCTCGGGCCAATGGGAAGCGGCGGCGGGCGGGGTTTCGCGTCCCGCCGGAGCCTAGTGCGATGTGACGTGGGGCGCGAGAGGTTCGGCGTTCGCGGATAGGCGGAGAGAGGAAAGAGGGGTGGGAGGGGAAAAAATGAGGTGTTTGCCGTTGCCATGGAGCCGAATAGGGAGAGCGAAGCTGGACAGCGACCCTAGCTGAGACGTAAAGTGTGTTTAAGAGATTCAACGGGCGTCTGGGAAAGGCTTCAGGGTGCTTACTGCGCAAGTGCTTGGAGCATGCGCAGTGCGGAAGAGTGGGCCTCCTGCCCTCGCGCTGGCACTGCGATGGCAAAGCTGAGGGGAACGTGCCTGAGGAACTGAAGTGGGGAGGAGGGCGTTCGCCGCGCGGCAGAATAAAGAGGGTTTTTTGTTGGTTTTTTTCATTTAAGCCACGGCCTGTGCTCCTGAGCATGTACAGAGTGCCTTTTGCCTCACCGCCACAGAATAACTCGCAGGCCATTGGGGACTGAGGAGAAGGAAGAAACTGCCACGGCCCGGCATACTCCTGTAGCGCAGTACCACTTGGTTCCTCGCTTTTAAACTACGTAAAAGATGAGGGGCAGAATAAAAACTAACGGACGACGAAGCTTTGAAAATAACAACGAAGAGGCGGGGCCGTGCTGCTCAACCAATCGCAAGGCTGGGCGAGGAGCGCCTGACGTCACGGCGTCGCCGAGAGGACGTCGAACGACCGCGCGCCCCCACGCGGGCCGAGATTCCGTTGCCATGGCGACCGCGCAGCGCTTGGGACCGGGGCGGCTGGCGCAGGAGGCCGGCGCGCTCGCTGCCGTCGTCCGGGGCTCCGTGGGGCCTCGAGGAGGGCACGTGCTGCTCACCCGCCCCACGGGGGAAGTGCTGCTTTCCAGGGACGGGCGGCGCGTGCTGGAGGCCTTGAACGTCGAGTCGCCCACCGCCCGGTAATCGACGGTCCCCGCTCCGCAGTTCCGTGGTCTAGGCCGCATCGTCCGCGTGAAGGGCTCGGGCGGGCCCCCTCTCTGGGGTTTCGGGGAGGGCCATAGGTTTAGCCAGGGCGGCGGCTGCCCCGCCTAAATCAAGGAAATAAAGGAAAAATACTTATAGAAATGGTAGAAAGTTTTTGACAGGTTTTCTGAAAGAAGAAACTGTGGTTTGACGTTGCATTCCGAATCTGGTAGACAGATCCAGACACGGGATGGTGACAACTGGGTGTCTTGCCTCCCCCCCCCCGAAAAAGCACCCCATAAATCCTGGCTACAACCAGGAGGAGGAGGAGACAGTGTGGACTTCAAATTTTCCACATCCACCACCACTTTTAAGGTTTTCGTTTTAATTTTTAGCACTTCAGAAGATGCTGCTCACGGATCTCCCGTGCCCTGTCTAGCATTGCTCTTCAGCATATCGCTGTGAAATTTAGCTCTGTCTCACCAAGATTTGCAACTTAAGTGCGCATACTATTATTATAGTTGCCGGCCCACTCATGGAAACAATGAACAGGGTGGTGATACAATGACTACTGCAACCAACACAAGATTTTATTTATATTCATTTTTCCATGTTCTTTTTATTTTATTTTTATTTGGTTTGGTTTTTCAAATGACAGTTTTACACTCACATACCCAACATACAACATAATCAGAAGATTCCAAAGAATCACCTGAACTTCCCTCCTCCCCTTTGTGGGTCCTATTGTTAGAAAAGATGCAGGTGGAAAAGTCTAATAATCCAAATCGTTTACATCTCCATTATATCCAAAAAGTCACCATTAAACTACAAGTGTTCTTCCAATCCTACTAACAATTTTAACTGTTCACAGTGGTTTTTAAGATAAATTATAAATTTTCCTCGACACAAGTTAATATTACCAAGGCAACTATCTGTAAACAAACAAGAAATGTCCATAAAATGGCAAAAGTAGTTTCTTTCCCAAATAGGTTTTATCTTAAACAGTAGCAAACATGGTAAATAAAGAGTTCACCTGTAAAACAGTGCTCATTTCTTCTCTTTCCAAAATAGATTTTATCTTGAACCATTGCGTAATAGAGAGTCCACTTGTGATATACCAGTGGTTCAGTGCTCCGATGTCGTTCCATAATCCAACGTTTCATCACTAAAGCACATAGTTATCGAGTTTTGTAATAAATAATATGCAAGAGAAGATGGTACGTAAACAACTTAAAGCAGGGGTGTATCTGTCCCCATCTGCATATTTCCATTGGGAGGAGCATAGATTGAGGACAGTGTCCTTCAGTTTGTTAAACCTCCTTTCCAGCTGGATACCAGTGCCCCTGTGACTGCCCTTCACGCTAAGATCCCAGGGCAGGTTACACCAATTGAAATCTAATGCTAAAAACAGCTTACAATCACAGAAACAAGGTGGGCCCTAAAAATGTACATCTTAGGTGTCAAAGGGGTACCCTTGATGGCTGCTCCCATCCAGATAGCTCAGAGGGCCATAATCTATGACTTCCCTCACAGAGGCATCATTTATTTCAGTTGATATTGTCCCATGTTTATCATGGTCAAAAACACAAGAAGTCACATGCCCATCCACCTTATCTCCTAAACTGAAAGGCAGCCTTTCCTCATAGGGGAGTTTCTCGAGACCCTTGATCGCTTTTGCTGGTGTTTTGTGCACATTTTCCACCAACGTCATTTTTAAGGCACAGGGAACATAGAAACCATGACCTCCACACTGAGGCAGTTTCACAGAAATATTGCCCCCCTCGCAGCCTCATAGTTGCCAGTGGCCCATGTATGGAATCTGCCCACAACCATTGTGTTTAATGTCTTAGTACAGATAACTCGCATCTCAGGAAGGTTGTAATGTATGATGTTTCGTTGTGTTTTTATTGGAAGGTGCTCGATCACAATCTTCTGTGGGTGGGTGGAATAAATAAATAAAAATGGAAACCCTCTGTTCCCCACTTTCCATTTATTTATTTCCTGCACACCCAGCTGGTTTTCCTTGTTTCAGGCTCTGGGAAGGTCCATGGGAGGGCCCTGGGAACCTTCTCCCAGAGGCTGGTAATCAACAAAGCACCTTAATAGCTTCTGGGAAGGATGTGTGGGAGCTCTCAAAGTGTCCCAGAGGCCCATAAGAAAGGCTGTGCCTTGCTTCCAAATTCTGGGAAAGCTGAGGGAGGGCCCTGGGAGCTAGACCCTCTTGCCACCTTCCCAAAGCCCAGTGTATTTTAAAATAGGGTTTTAGAGTTTTTAGGGGTTTTTGAATGTTTTATGTAGTTTTTATGTAATTTTATGTAGTCTTGTGGTAGTTTTATGTAGTTTTTATGTAGTTTTATGTAGTTTTTCAATTTCATTGTCCTGCATGGGACAGTGACAATAAAGATATATCATATAAGCAGCCCCCTGACTTTGTGCAATTTTGCATTTAAAATCAGATCCCTGGAACCAAACGCTCACTTAGGTTGCAAGTTACTTGTATATTGGGATCTCACATAGAAACTGTCTGTATTTTTGTTTTTCTGCTGTAGATTTGTAGAAAAGAAATAATTCACTTAGAGATATTTCAAATATAGTAAGTCCGCAGTCTATGTGGGGGTTACATTCCAGGGATCACGCCTAAAGCCAAAATCATGTATAGTCAAAACACATTGGGTTCAGTCTTGGGTTGGATTGCCAAAGTCATTTTTCCGGGAATTCCACCCCCTTTCTGCTCCTATGTATGTATGTATGTATGTATGTATTGTCATGCGCATAGAGCTGAATGCGCACAAGTTAAATGCACATAAGTTGTGGGCTTACTTTAAACCATTTGTTTCTCTTTGGCTTTTAACAGAATGATGATTTCATGCATTTCCGCACACTGCAATTTGACTGGGGATGGTGCTAAAACGTTCATCGTAATTCTCTCCATTTTACTTCAAGAACTTGAAAAACTTGTTAAAGGAGGTAGTCCTTCCTGTTATGAGAAGATCCAAGGAAGAGAGAATTGTAAAGAAAATTTTTACAGACTGAAACAAGTTTCCCAGCTTCTTATAACGATCCAGATGGACATTCTAGATTACATAGTGACAAGAGACCTTGAAAAGCATTTTCATTCAGTATTTTCTGTTTCTGACAAAGAAATAAGTATGAGCACAATGGGGTTGGTACTGGAAGCTTATTTTTCTGGGAAAGTAGGAATCAATAGACAAAAGTTTCTTTCCCAGTTAAGCTGTGATTTCTACTTCAGAGTTACTGCTGGTAAAAATAGGAGTGAAGTCCTATGCTTTGTGGATGACTGTTTTGCTGAGTTGCATACTACTGTGACAGGCCTCCCTGTTTCAAGTTCAAGAATCCTAGATGGGCTTATTCTTCACAGAGACTTTGCTGTGTACTGTCCTGCAGATGGTGACAAAAGAGTTCTAGTTATAACAGAACCTATCCAGCCTGCTTATTCTGACTTGGGTGCTGAAGTTGTCATAACTGCTGAAAATCAACATGGGGCATCTAAAACCTGGATTACAAAAAGAACAGAAGCTGTTCTAAAGCACATGCGGGACAATGACATCAAGGTTTTATTGTCAAGTGTAAAACAACAGGAAGCTGTTCATAACTACGCAAAAAGCAGTGGCATATCTATTGTAGAGTGCCTGTCCCCAGAGGAGATATCTCTTATCTACAGGATCACAAATATTTCACCTTTTAAGCCATCTTTGGACAATATTCACACTGAAATCACAGAAGCCGCTGTTGCAAAATTTTGCCAGCCATTGCACCTTGGCGCCAAAAGATTTGTTCCATATAGGCTTTGAAAGGACGTGTGCCCTTCAGCTCCACTGTGTGATTCTCTGTGGGCCAGTGCATGGGGTTACTGAGCAACTTGTTTGTGCTTTTCATGGTGCGTTCAAAATGTTGCGACAGATGTTTACGGTTGTTTGTCTGACTGAGCAAAACCTCTCCGAAACACTGCATAATAGTCAGCAGTGTTCTGATGCACAGCAACATTTTGTAGAGAAGCACACTGACTGCAGTGAGGTTCACGATTGTGCCAAGCAGCCAAGACCTTTTGGGTTTGAAATGGAAGAGGACTCTGTTTCTGCTTCATCGGTAGACAGAGAGTTGGCATGTGCATCCATGCATCTGCCTAACTCATGGGGCGTAGATTTGGCGCATGATGCCATGTGCTCAGAACTACATGAATGTGAATGTAATTTAGTTGACTTGCAAAAGGTGTCTCAGAAACGCAATCATCCAAAAGGAATGTTGAGAATGGACAGGAATGAATCACTTGCGAAAAATCAGCTTGCTCCTACCAGAGCAGAGAGAAGCATCAGTTCCAGAAATGTGCAGCTGCAACCCACTGAGGACAGTTGTACTAGGCAAGGCCATGGAGTTAAAGAAGTGGATAGTATCAGAAGCCATATTCAGAGTAATTCCAGCTCTTACATAATGGAGGGATCAGTTTTGCCGGTCGGCGGGATATTCGAGATTCTGTTACATTACTACCTGTCCTGCTATGCAAAGCAGTGCCAGTCACCAAACGTATCCATTCTTTGTGCTGTAATTGCTGATGCGTTGCTCAGTGTTCCAAAAACCCTCTGTAGGGCACAGAAAAGGGATGCTTTTCCTCAACTCTATCTTGAAGTTACCAGCGCTGTCAGAAATAATCAACCTCTTCTGCCAAATCAAGAAAGGTTAGAATCAGTGTCCTGTAAGTACCAATTAGTGGCTTCCATTCTTCAATGTGCAGCTAGGCTTTTAAGTATTGATCTTATTGTTGGCATTAAGAGGTTACCTCAGAAGACCGAAGAAAGCGATTCAGAAGCTGATCTGTGAATAAAGGGTTTTCGTATGCAAGTGATGCAGTTGCGAGAACCAGCTACGTCCTTTAGTCTTCCTTAGTCCAGTGTACTTCTATGCAGCCCCAGGACTGTTCAGATCCTAACAGAAAGGTGGAGAGAGCGGACATTGGCTACAAATTTTCTTAAATCCCATAATGTATTTCTGGCCGATAGATTGGGTATAGATTTAGACCAGGAATTGTGACACATTGAGGCTGCAATTCTAAAGTCACCTATCTAGGAGTAATTGAATTCGTTGGGACTTACTTGAGGGAGGTGCTTGGATAGGTGCCCCAATCCAAATTTTAGAGAGCTCATTTGGAAGGAAACACTGGCGATGATGAATGCTTTCTGGAAATGTTGGGGAAACTTGCTTCCGCACTACATAGGTTGAGACTGATTTAGCATGTTTATCTGTCATAATAAACAAAACTTTAAAAGCATGCTATGTTAATTTTATGCCTTGTATAAGTACCTCCCCAAAATTCCAATAGTCAAAAAATGGTTGAACTGAAATATTTGATCGGGGTGTGTGTGTAAAAGTCCGCTTAGTATGGTTTTAATGTTATATTCAGGTTCAAAATTTCACCTGGGAACTGTTTGCATTGGAGTGGTTATATATTTTTTTAAGATAAGACAATAGGATACACTTTGTGTATGCTGTTTAAGGTTGTGTCCAGTGTTGTCTTCTATTAGCAAGAAACAGCTCCTCCCTAGAAACAGCTCCCCACACCCTGATCAAACTCAGGAGCAGAACAGATAGCCAAATGACTCAGCTATACAGCTGCAAATAAAATGTTTTAAGTGTGTTGTAAAGTGCATTATACAAATGTGGCACTAGATGGCGATTGTGAGCTATGGAAAATTCAATATATTTTCCAAAACATTTTTTAAAAAAGCATTTTCACAGCATTTTCATATGTGTCTAGATTTCACTAAAGTCTGTGCCAAGGCTGCACCTCCAACCCCACCCACCAACCATTCTTTCCTCTGACTGCTCTATACTGCCTTCTATTCTGATGCTGTTCTCCAAAGCAGCAAGCAAACCCTTAACTAGTCCATGTAATGGTCAACTATCAAGTATTTATCACGTTGATCTCTTGATTCTAGGGGGGCAATGTGGTTATAAAAACTTTGATGAAATTAAAGAAATGGATCTGCTGCGGAGGTTTCCAGAATGACAAAGTTATGAAGCAAAACATTCCCTCCAGTCTGTTTGGGTCATCTGCAAAGTGGTGGCCTGTTTGCTGTGCCTGCTTTTAGGAACTGGCACTGAGAAACAAAGGCATGGATCGATTTAAGATTTGAACTGCTATATTTGCATTTAACTTAAGCCCCGTTGGCTGATTAGATTGGTCGTAACTAGGGCCAGGGCCTTTTCAGTACTGGCCCCGACTTGGTGGAACGCTCTGTCACAAGAGACTAGGGTCCTGCGGGACTTGACATCTTTCCGCAGGGCCTGCAAGACAGAGCTGTTCTGCCTGGCCTTTGGTTTGGACTCAGCCTGACCCTTATGTTTCCCTCCCCTTCTGGTTTTGATCTATGGGCTACTATTAAAATGAGGCTGCATTTTAAATTGCATTTTAACCTGTATTTTAAATTGTTTTTTTTTTCTTTCCCCCCCTATTATGATTTTACTGTAATTTTACTGGTGTTAGCCACGCTGAGCCTGGCTCTGGCTGGGGAGGGCGGGGTATAAATATTTTTTAAAAAAATTACTATTATTATTATTACTATTATTATTATTATTATTATTTACACATCACTTACTGTACACTGGTCTCACTGAAGACAACAGCATTCATCCAGCGCAACCAGTCCTTGGTTTGCTACCCTCAGCTACAAATGATCTTGTATCAGCTCATCCAGTAGGAAAGGAAATGGGCTGTCTTCCTCCTACTTTTCTTTTCTTTTTTAGCATTACAGTAATTGAATGCCCAAAACACTTCAGATGTGTTATCTCAAAAATCCCCAAAGTCATTTTGAGAGGTATGACATATCTATTTCCTTATTACTAATCTGTGGGGGCTAGAGAGAAAGTGGCCTGCCTAAGGCAGTCTAGCAAATTCATGGACTTCCTGGTTTCTTGGTCAATATAGTACTTTCCTCTAAGACCTAACGAGAATCTAGATGGAAAAGAAACACCCTGCACTGAGTACAGCAACTGTGTAAGGTAAAAAGGTAAAGGACCCATGGATGGTTAAGTCCAGTCGAAGGCGACTATGGTGTTGCGGCGTTCATCTTGCTTTCAGGCCAAGGGAGCCGGCGTTTGTCCACAGCTTTCCAGGTTATGTGGCCAGCATGACTAAACCACTTTTGGCGCAACAGAACACCGTGAGGGAAACCAGAGCGCACAGAAACGCCGTTTACCTTCCCGCTGCAGCGGTACCTGTTTATCTACTTGCACTGGTGTACTTTCAAACTGCTAGGTTGGCAGGAGCAGGGACAGAGCAACAGGAGCTCACCCTGTCGTGGGGATTCGAACCGCCAACCTTCCAATTGGCAAGCCCAAGAGGCTCAGTGGTTTAGACCACAGTGCCACCCACGTCCCTTTGCAACTATGCAACAGTAAATTATATGCCAAAGTGCTGATTGGCATGCTATTATTATGCCAAAGGGCTAATTGGCATGCTTTGACTGTTGTGTGGAGGCACTTCCAGTTGTTCTGCAATAGTTGCTGTTACCACATGGCAAGGCCTTGGTTTTAAGTGCTCAAATTTTCTCCATGCCACCTAAATTTTTGTTTTGGGGCATTTAATGCAGTTGGGAGAAGGTTGGGCCCCATTGTGGGCTTATCTACACAGTTCAGCAATGGATTTAGAATATTCTCTGGGCACCTCCACGGTGGGGGTGGAGTTCAGGTGTATTCTACAACACTTCATTGATGCAATAATACTTCATTAGTAGTCATCCATCCATTATCATGCTATATTAGTTTTGTGATCCTTCCCAGCGTTACCACATTATTATCTGGATAGGCGTTATAGTGAAACAAATGCAGTGCAAAAGCCAACAACCCCAGAACGTTTGTGGAGGAAGAGATGGTACAAATTACAAATAATGAGACTGGAATCAATGTCTTCATTACAAAACTGAATGCAGTAATAGAAAGTGTCCCACACTCTTACCGTGTTGGAGCTGAAAGACAGTTCCTTTCCATCACTTTGCCTAAAAGAAGATTGGGGGTGGGGGGGAGAGATTGGGGGACTCATTATGGGTGCTTGGACTGACTCACCTTGTGCCTACAGCCTTGGTCTTCCTATTGGGGGAGTGCTACCATCTCACCATTGGCACATCTGCATTTAAATGAACAAAACAATATTAAGAGCTCCAATAATGGATATCCAATGTTGTTTCTAGTTTGGACAGAAACACTTTCATTGAGACTGGCATAGAATGAAGCCACTGCTTTTCTTAGAACTGCAGAAAAGCAAAAGAGCCCCAAGCAGGAGCTCTCTGGTTACCATAACTCTAAGAGCCTCAAGGAAAGCTTTAGTCAAACTATCAAGGAAAGCTATGTGTTCATATTATTTCCCCCTCAATTTCACAATTTCTGGGGGTGGGGAGACTTGTCCAGTATTGCAAAATGGCACCCTTTTTTTGGAAAACCCCATTTTCGGGAAGAGATTCATCTCTGTCATTGCCTCCCCTATTTTCATTGACACTGCTGCTTATGCTGTATCTTTCACTGGTATTCAGCTGCCTTTGAGCTGCTTTAACACATTGCCTTCTGTTCCCATGTGAGCAGGTCCACCTAACAGTGGAGCATTCTTGTCTAAAATACAGCATGCCAACTCAACCACCATGGATTGTGGGCAGCAGCTGTCTCTCAGGTTCTCAGATTATTTTTTCTTTGCAGAGACCAGTCACAAAACTTATTAACAACAATAAATATTATTGTTTATACCCCGCCCATCTGGCTGGGTTTCCCCAGCCACTCTGGACGGCTCCCAACAGAATATTAAAAACACAATAAAACATCAAACATTAAAAACTTCCCTAAACAGGGCTGCTTTCAGATGTCTTCTAAAAGTCAGATAGTTGTTTATTTCCTTGACATCTGAAGGGAGGTCACCACTACCAAGAAGGCCCTCTGCCTGGTTCCCTGCAACCTCACTTCTCGCAGGGAGGGAACCGCTAGAAGGCCCTCGGAGCTGGACCTCAGTGTCCAGGCTGAATGATGGGGGTGAAGATGCTCCTTCAGGTATACCGGGCTGAGGCCGTTTAGGGCTTTAAAGGTCAGCACCAACAATACCCATGAGACCCTCTTCAAAAATAATGTTTGAACATAAAAAGCTACTTTTGTATGTGCTGTTGAGAGGGGATAATCTGCAGGCACACCAATTTTTTATCCATTTTTTTATTTTATTTTAGTATTTTAAAATGGTAAACCTCCTTGGGCGGCTTGACAGAAAAGCAGTATATCAACACAATAAATGAATACATAGAATAATAGAATTGTAGAGTTTGAAGGGACCCTGAGGGTCATCTGTTTCATCCCACTGCAATGCAGGAGTCCTGCCCACAGCCATCCCTGGGTAGAGTCAAACCACCAACCTTCTGGTTAACAGCCAGATGCACAGACCCGTTGCGCCACATGTGAGAAGTATTCATGCATGGGATCCCACAGCTGCAGTCTTAAGCAGTACCCTCCAATAGCAGATAGGTGCTGGCTGTCTTTCTTAGTTGTAAAGGTAAAGGTACCCCTGCCCGTATGGGCCAGTCTTGCCAGACTCTAGGGTTGTGCGCTCATCTCACTCTATAGGCCGGGAGCCAGCGCTGTCCGCAGACACTTCCGGGTCACGTGGCCAGCGTGACAAGCTGCATCTGGCGAGCCAGCGCAGCACACGGAACGCCGTTTACCTTCCCGCTGGTAAGCGGTCCCTATTTATCTACTTGCACCCGGGGGTGCTTTCGAACTGCTAGGTTGGCAGGTGCTGGGACGGAACGACGGGAGCGCACCCCGCCTTCATTCTTAGTTCTTACTTGACTTGAAATCCGAAGGGAGCAATCCTACGGACAGAATGCTGACATAAAGCAAAGCGGTGTAAAGTGACACCGGATCCAAACCCTGTTCAGCAGCGGGTCTGCCGCTCTGCCTAAGTCTGGCAGAGGGAAAGCAAGCCTTTAAAATTGTCTCCTACATCAGACGAAGCTGGTGGGGGTTTAGGATCCAACCTAAGTCCATCACAACCCCCGAACATCTCTTTTTGGGAATTCACACCAGCCTCGGCTGAGCCAGGATGAGCAAGTTACGCTGGCAAATGTTCAGTCGAGCTGCAGATCTGATCTGCTGCGTCTAAGGTGCTTGTCCTGATGGATCTTGTCATAGGATTGCCCCCAAATAGCCTGTTTTAAATTATTTGTGGACACAGCTGGCAAAATGACCAACCAACTCCTCATTACAACAGTGAAATCCAACCTAGAAAAAGTCCTATGAAGG